GACAGGGACATCTGCCTTCACCACTCTTATTCAATGTAGTACTGGAAGTCCTAGCCAAAGCAATCAGACAAGAAGAAATAAAAGGCATTCAAATTGGAAAGGAAAAAGTAAAACTGTCATTATTTGCAGATGACATTATACTGTATATAGAGAACCCTAAAAATTCCACCAAGAAACTTCCAGAACTGATAAAAATATTCAGTAAAGTTGCAGGATACAAAATTAACATCCAAGGACTTCCAGTCAAAACTGAGGCACAGGTAAACATAGCTTGACTCTTACACAACCACAGCAAAATTACAGCTAAACTACAAAACATATGTCACTCAGAACCATCAGATAATCAAGCTGTATGGAAGTCCGACAATTAAGGAATTAACGAAACCACATTTAGCCAGACAGGTAGGAGGGATGAAGGGGCAGAGATGTAGAACAGGCTGGTGACAAACCCATGTGTGGTGACTATAAAATGAAGGGTATCTCAGGAGTGAGGGGTCCCAGCTCCACACCAGATCACCCAGCCAGGGTTCTAGTGCCAGGAAGATAAGTCCCTGTAACTTCTGGCTGTAAAAACCATGGGGGCTGAGTTGGAGGAAGAAACTGTGGGATTCTCAGGTCTCTTCTCCTAAAGGGCTTCAGAAAACACATGGACTTACTCAGACTCACTCCCTCTGGGCTCCAGCACTGGGGCAGCATTTTGAAGGGCACCAGTGGCACACAGGAAGGAACTGAAGTGTTTGGCACTAGGGCAAGAGTGGGGGACCACTTTCTCCCAGACAGAAATGCAGACAGTGGCCACTGTATCTTTTCTGAGCCCATACCTACACAGTGTGGGGGCACCATATCTGAATCTCCATCAACCTGGCTCACACAGTAAATCCTGCCCTGACAATTACCTGAAGGTTTGTCCCATTCAACTTATAGGCCCACCCAAGCTGGCAACAGTGGTTTTTCCATAGGAAGGGCTGGGCTATGTACAAGCTTTAAACTTTCCTAAATTTGCTCAAGCAAGCAACAGCTGGGCCCAGCCCCTATACCCCTTACTGAGTGGCCCCAGGCCCAGCACTAGCAGCAGACATCTGCAGATCACTTTATAGCTTACACCTAGGGGCCCCAGACAAAACACAGGTGGACGCTGACCTTAGCCTCCAACACCTGGGAAAACCCAGAGCCTATACCCACAGCAGACAGTTACAGACCACACCAGAGTACCACCCAAACCACCTCAACAAGCCATGGAGGGAGGTGGTTGCTGGCCAGGGGTCCAAGCCAGTCCTACCAAGTATCTGAACTGAATAATCCCTCCCATTGACCTGCTGACAGTAATCAAGACTCATCTACAAGAGAAGGGAGTACTCAGCCCACAAGGACAGCGCACCTTGAGTACCCAGCTTGGGAAATAGGGGAGGCTGTGCTACTAAACTCTACAGGGCACATACTACATTAGGCTATGCTACCAAGACAGAGTCAAAGCAGTTCTACCTAATACATAGTAACAAACACAGGGAGGCTGCCAAAATGAGAAGACAAAGAAACATGGCTCAAATGAAAGAATAGAACAAAACTCCAGAAAAAAAATGAAATGAAATGGGAGATAAGCAATCTCTCAGACATAGAGTTCAGAACATAGGTTATAAGGACACTCAGTGAACTTAGTGGGTAATTCAACAGCATAAAAACGATCCAAACAGAAATGATGGAGACATTAATTGAAATAAAGAACAATTACAGGGAATCAACAGTGGAGTGCATGAAGTCATGAATCAAATCAATGATTTGGGACATAAGGAAGAAAAAGACATCCAGTCAGTATAGCAAGAAGAAAAAAACAATCCAAAAAAATCAAGGATAGTTTAAGGAGCCTCTGGAACAACTTCAAAAGTTCCAACATTCACATCATGGGGGTGCAAGAAGGAGAAGAGAAAGAGCAAGAAATTGGAAACCTATTCGAGAAAATAATAAAAGAAAACTTCCCTAATTTGGTGAAGGAACATACAAGGGACATACAAGTCCAGGAAGCACAGAGTCCTAAACAAGATGGACACAGGGAGGACCACACCAAGACATATCATAATTAAAATGCCAAAGGTTAAAGATTAATGGAGAATCTTAAAAGCAACAAGAGAAATGCCAATAATTACCTACAAAGTAGTTCCCATAAGACTGTCAGCTGATTTCTCAAAAGAAACTCTTCTGCAAAGGCTGTCCAGCCTTGACCTTGGTCTTTCACCAGAGAATGTTTTCGCAAAGAGAATTTCATACCTGTAACATCCTTTGGAATCTGGAAAGGCCAAGACCCTCCCAAATCAAGTGTGGTTCCTTTTTGCTAAGAGTTCCTTCTTCAATCCACTCCCTTCCTCTCACACATACTACAGGCAGCAAAGGAAAACAAGGGTGCATCCTCCACACTTTGTTTGATATTTCCTCAGTCAAATATCTAAGTTCATTGCTTACAAGTTCTGCTTTCTTTGACTAGTTAGTCAGTAAATCATACAGCTCTTGATACTAAGAGGGTTGACAAGTAGGTTAGGGGAAAACAGATACACAAAAGCAAGAGGAGCATTAAATTTATGTCCATCAAGCTCCTTCCACATACCTAAGTATCATGAATGTGTAACTGGGATCCTGACAAGCAAGTTACATCTTTGTAAGGACAAGAAGAGTAGCAAAAGACCTCAGAACACATCCCCACTCAAACATCCCTGTCTTCTTAACATGGCTGACTATCTCTGCCTCAGCCCTGCCCCATACCCTTGGTCCTAGCATTGCAGCCACTGATCCCGTCACCACATATCTTTTCTTTCCTCTACAGTCTCAGGTATTCCTAATTCAAAGTCTGCCTCCCACAGAGCCATCTTCTGACACTTCCTTCCTACTTCTAGCTGCTCTCCCAGGCTGCAGACATGTCTTCTTCCAGGGCTGAGGGATGTTGGGTTAGGGTGGCTACAAGGGGTCTGCCTAAGGGAGCACAAGGAATGGAAAGAAATTTAGCATTTATTCATTTTCTGTTCTAGCTAAGAATTAATACACAATCACTATTATAATCTTAACTTTGTTCAATATAAATTAAGTTTATTTTCATAATTATGTGCTTTATTTTTTAAGGTTTATACTTTTAGTCCCTGCACAACATAGATCTGATTTAATCCAGGACCAATGGTCTTCAGAGGAGGATACACAACAGCCAGTGGAAGAGGGAATGATGACCCACAGTGTCAGTGAAGGCCCTAGGACTAGGAAGGGCAGGACCTCACTCACCACCTCCTGTTGCCACATCAGGGAGCCCTATAACCTGGCCAGCCTCTGGTTATAAAAGCAGCTTTTCTTTAGTTGGTTCTCCCTGGTCATACTCTTCCCTGTTACCCCTAGTCCTACATGAGAAAGCAACAATTAAATTACTCCACCATAAAATAAGTGAAGGGGAAGATTTAAACCTAAGATTTCTTTTACCTAGGGAAAGCCCTGGCCATTCCTCTTACCCTTAAAATGCCCTTTCCTATGTCCTCTCTGGCTGCCTTAGACCGGGAATGGCCAACACAAGGCACAGGTGCTTCTTTGCCCTCCCCTTCTCAGGGAAGATACTGCAATCATGGCCTTCCTTGTTTGCAGTATCAATAATACCCCAATGTGATGGTGAATTTTGTGTGTCAATTTGGCTGTGCCACTGTACCAAGATATTTGGTCAAGAATTATCCAAGATGTTTTTGTGAGGGTGTTTTGGGATGAGATTAACATTTAAATGGATAGACTGAGTAAAGCAGATGCACTTCTCTTGTGAAGGTGAACCCAATCCAATCGGCTGAAGGCCTTAATAAAAAAGACTGACCTCTCTAGAAGACAAGGAAATTCTGCCAGCCTTCAGAATCAAGTTGCAACTCCTCCCTGGGTCTCCATCTTGCTGGTCCACTCTGGATTTTGGGCTTACCAGGCCTTACACTCACATGAGCCGATTCCTTAAAATACATCTTTCTCTTTTTCTCTCTCTGTATGTTTATACATATGCATACTTTTGATTCTGTTTCCCTGGTGGACCCTGACTGATACAGCTAGTGAGCTGTATCAACAACAGCCCTCCAAAGAGAATTCCCAGTTAGCATGCAAACTAAACTCATTCACCTAGGGCTGTGAGTACATCCAGCAGCTGGTAGTGTCCCTGGTTGCATACAGAGGGCCAAGTACATGCCACCACTTCCCTGTACTCTGGGTACCTCTAGAACTAGAGAATAGCCCTGGACCCAAAATTCCTAGTAGGGTCTTCCTAGTTCTAACTAGCCTGGTTCTCTACCTTTGTTCCGCCTGAAGAGGTAGGGCAGTCAGGGAGGCTATAAGTTTTTCTTCTCTGGTGAACTAAAGCCATAAGAAAAGCCCAATGAAAACGGTACATATTAAGGCCACTAGACAGCTTTAAATTGGAGCCAGTCAGAAGTTACCAGAAGGTTGGGGAGATGGGGAAGACACCCAGCTTCATCCTTCTCATAGCTCTCCAGAGGGATGACACGGCATCTGCCAACAGTCACTAGGAATATGAAACTCATCTAAATGTCTTCCAGATTGTACGACTGAACAACACAAGATTCTAATTGTGTTTAATTTGAAATTTTTGTTATTAAGAGAAAGGTACTTAGGAACCAATCCAACATGTACTTGCCACCCTGACACAGGGAGCTTGTAAAAAGGGGATTTGCACTTAGAATCTTACTTGCTGACCATGTGGTGCTAAGCCTAATGGACCTCTTGGGGTCTCAGTTTCCTTATCTATAAAGGACACCTACTTGGGAGGCTCATCATGGCACATCATAAGCCTCCAAAAATGGGTGCTGTTACAAGATTTAGAGGAGTGGTAGTTCTAGAATCCAGTCAAGGCATAACAGGAGATGGAGCAGAGCAGAGCCAGCTGGCCAGTCCCAGGAATCAGACCCAGCAGGCTACAGACAAAGAGGTCATCCCTATCCCTCTCCGCTAGAGAGAGGGGGCAAAAGAAAGAACAAGGTAAGACTGACCTTGAGGGCAGGAATCTCCACACTGTCACCAAGGCTGATGGAGCCCGAGAGGATGGTCCCTGTCATCACAGTGCCCTGGCCTTTGATGGAGAAACAGTGGTCCACAGACATGAGGAATGGTCCCGAGGGATCTCTTGTTGGGATGGAAATCTGGGACGTCAGGAGCTAGAAAAGAGATGCTGTTGCCACATTTTGTCAGGAGAGGACTAGACGGGGCAGGGTAGAGGAGAGCAGAGGATGTGACAGTGTCCAGGTAAACCGCTTTTTCTTTTCTGCTGACTCTTCTCACATGCTTCAATCTTAACCTGCCTATTTTCCCCATGCTATCTATGTGCTTAAGATGGTGTCAGGGCTAATTACCATTAAACAAATGAAAATAAAGAACATATTATTTTTTTTATTTTGCTACTTTCTGTCAAAAAGTTATTTGGTCGTAAATGTTCCCAACTCTTAATCTTGTGGTAACAATTCTTTTAGAAAAAAATTAGAGATTCAAAACAGCCTTGGCCTGAGATTTGTGCAGAGGCTTCTTAAAGGAATATATGAACATCTTTTACAGCAATATACTGTAGATTTTGCTTTAACACAATTGTACAAAGTTCCCAGACCAGTCATCTCTGGAGCTGGTGAAAAAGTAATGGAAGCCTTATCCAGAAAATATTGGTTTTACGTCAGCAAGATGAGCACTGTGTAATCACAGAAAGAGTGGTAGCACACAGTCTACCTGATCTTGGCTCTGTGGATCCAGGCAGACCAAAAAGCCCACCTGAAATCAAACTGGGTTTGAATCCCAGCTCCACCACAAACTTGCTGTGAGACCTTGGGCAAGTTACTTAACGTCTCTGAATCTCAGATTCTTAGATAAAATGAGGATGAATAATTTAAGCATCCCAGGGTCACTGTGAATGTTAATGATCTTGTATGTAAAGAACTTAGTACAATACCTAGTATGTGATAATAATTCCTCACCATCATAGTAAACTGAATAGCACTGTTCCGAGTGCATTATACACATTAACTTGCCTAACCCTCACATCAACTCCACAAGAAAAGGGGCGCTATTTTCTTTCCTACTTTATAAGTGAGGGAACTGAGGCAAGAGAGAGCAGGTCATGTGCCTAAGGTCACAGAGAGAACAGGTGATAGGGCCAGCACTGCAAACTGCCCCAGAGTCATTGCACCTGACCACTCCAACCCTCTGAGCTGCCTCAAGTGCTCAGCAGAGGCACTGCAGACCGCAGTCTCACTGCCATTTCCATGAAAGCATCACTACCCCCGCTCCACCTCCATCATGCTTGTTGGATGCCCTGAGCACCCTGTGGATGGCTGCACTCCCTCCCTCTGTCTACTATTATCCTACCTGGAGGAACAGACTGAGACTTCGGCCCATGGCTTCAGAAAATGAAGCCTCCACTGCTTTGGCAAAGGCCATAGGTCCTAAGCCGCACTGCCACTGCTACTGGGCACATCTCCTTCCCCCTGCCTCATGGACCCCACCCAGTGGTACACGCTGGAGGGTCTGGTACAATCTGAAGGACTGGAACAGATGACATGGCCCCATAGATCCAGAATGACAGGATCTGCTTTGTTTGTGTGGAGGCATTTGACAAGAAAAAGGAAAAAGAAAGGCTTAGAAGAGTGGAGGCCTTCAGTTCTGTTTGGGATTAACTCTTAGGGAGGATGCATTAAGGTGCACGGGGAGGGGTTTAAAGGAAGCACCTCATAGTCCTCTTGCTGAGGCTGTCTCTGTCTCTCTCTGGCCGAGCGAGGACACAGAGGAGCCTGACTGAGCAGAGATGGGGCTAGAGAACAACCTGGATTCAAGCTGACAGTACCTCAATGAGCTCTGAGATGCCCTGTGGAGCTTCCGTATCAGGGGCCTCTGGTCCCCCAGGCTTGGCCGCCACAGCTATAATCGGTGCACCTTGGAACCTGGAACAGAAAAACAAGTCCCACTATAGTTAGAAGGATCATCAACATGAACACAGAACACATCTATGAAGCACCTGGAAGAACAGTGAGCACTCTGGGTATTCTCTTCTTTCCTCCTTTCAGAAGCACCTAAACAGAGAGTGCCACTGCATTCCACTTGGCAGATGAGGAAATGGAGGCCCCAAAGGGAAATGTCTTATATTAAACAACAGATTTTAAGAGGGTGCTCCTGGGTTTTAACCTCCACTTTCAGAACACGGCAGCAGTAAACCCTGGCCTACAGGCCTCTAAATTAAAGATCCTTTAAAGAGGGTTAATAAATACCTCCCAGCCTCCTGCATAGACTCAGGAAATACTGGTGACCAAAAGTCCCTGAAGATGCACCAGGGAAAGCACCTGCACCATAACAGTCTAATGGAGGCCATTCCCTCTAGGATTTTTCCAGAGAGCCCCTTTTTCTTTAAGAAGATATTTATTTATCTTTTCTATTAAAAAAAAATGGAAAGGGGAAAATATACAACCCATAATCCTGTCACTGAGGTATGCTTTCTTCCAGTCTTGGTTTTTCAACACATTGCCAAGAAATTGTATTTTTAATATTCTGGTTATAGTATGCACATAATTTCATATCCTACTTTATTTGCCATTATATCATAAAGAATTTCCTGTTAAATGGCAGCAACAGCAACAATAAATAACTTGGCTAAGTTAAGCATATACCATAGATACCTTCACTGAAACCTTCATACCACCACTATGAAATTGTCACCATTTTATAGATGAAAAACCGAGGGTTAGAGAGCTAAATTAATTCTCAAATCCAAATTCCAGTCCAACCCATCTGACCCTAGAACCAAGACTCACAACTTCTATGTTACCCTCCCACCTTCCCAGGCCTCCTCTTTTGTTTTTAACAGCTGCATAATAGTGTGACCCAGAATTTACATGCTTTTTTCCTTGCTGTTACTCATTTAGAACATACCAAGTTTTTTACTATTACAAAATAACCCTATGATAAACATGGTGGACATAGCTGCCTTTTTTTTTTTTTTTTTTTTTTTTTTTTTTTTGGCCTTCCTTTGGGATAAATTCATGGGGTATAAGTCTAAGACTCAACATACATTGAAAAATAAGCAAAATGCAAAATGGCAGAGTAAGGACATTCAAAAAGCCTTTCCTCCAGAAAAGCAGTAAGAACACTGGCAAAATTATCAGAATAAACATTTTCAGAACTCTAGAAATTAATGAAAGGCTTGTGGCAATCTGTGGAAAAATCTGAATCTCAGTAAGAATAAGAGTTTTATGGCATTTTAATTTGCCTTATTCTCATTCACCCCTGCCCAATCAGCATGTGCAGAGTGAAAACCAGCAGCCACTAAAGAATGCATATGGGTCTGAACTCCATTAAAGCCCCTCTCCCAGAGAACTGTCATTATTTTTGCTATCTGGCAGTTTGCTGGAAGACCCCACTTGCCAGCCTATCTTTATTTGACCTGCTTTGCAGGCCAACAGCCTTTTGGGGGAGGGGGGCCAAATGCCTCTGATTATTTTGTTGAAAATAATCAGAGGAAATTGTTTAACATTTGCCGGAGGCAAATATAAAAGTTTGGCAAAAACAGGCTGACCAGAAAGCTTAGATTTCTGGGAATCTAGAAGGGTACTTGCAGGCATAGGGCCATAGGCATGCCCAAGGCACTGTGCATAATTTAAAAAGACATGAGAAGGCCCTAAGCTCTCTGTTGTGTTCATCTTGATATTCTATGTAAGCAAGAAGTGAAAGCTAAGGCAGCATGCTAACTGCCTGCCTGAGCATTAAAAGCGTACTCCAACATGCACATAAAGACCCTTGACAAAGACTGGGAGACACACTGGTTCCAGACATTTAAGGAAATATCAAATTATTAGTTGACAAATTAAGCTAACTGGGCAGAGGCTTCAGTGGTCACACATTACTTTAGAGAATCAGTTTATGAAAGTTACTATGGAAATAATAACAAACTATGGAAATGTGGGAGAAGAGGAGAATATAATTTCCAGTATCGCCTCATTATTTTAAATGTCAAGCTTTCAACAAAATTCACAATACATGAAAGGAAACAAGAGTATGACCCATACCCAAGAAAAAAAGAGTTAAAAGAAACTGTTCCTAAGGAAGTCCTGCTAGACAAAAACTTTGTTTTTTCATTAAAAAATTTTTAATGAATTTATTGGGGTAACATTGGTTAAAAAAATTATATAGGTTTTAAGTACACAATTCTATAATAGATTATCTGTATATTGTATTGTGGGTTCACCACCCAAAGTCAAGTCTCCTTCAGTCACCATTTATCCACCTTTACCTTCTTCTCTCTCTCCAGACTACCCCCCTCCTCATTACGCTAGTAATCACCATATTATTGTCTGCGTATATGAGTTTGGGTTTTGGGGTGTTTTTTTTTGCTTAATCCTTCACCTTTTTCACCCAACCTCCAACGCCCCTCCCCTCTGACAGCTGTCAGTCTGTTCTCTGTATCTATGAGTCTGTTTCTATTACGTTATTTTGTTCAGTAGATTCCACATATAAGTGAAATCATTTGGTATTTGTCTTTCTCTGACAGGCTTATTTCACTTAACCATGCTATTGTAAAAGGTAAGGTTTCTTTCTTTTCTACGGCTGAATAGTAGTTCACTGCATTAATGTACCACAGCTTTTTTATACACTCATCTACTACATGGGCACAAGGACTGCTTCTAAATCTTGGCCATTGTAAATAATGCTGTAATGAACATAGGGGTACATAAATTCTTTCAAATGAGTGTTTCAGGTTTGTTTGAATATATTCTCAGAAGTGGAATTGCTGGGTCATAAGTCAGTTCCATTTCTAATTTTTGAGGTAACTCCATACTGCTTTCCACAGAAGCTGCACCAATATGCATTCCCATCAACAGTGCATGAGGATTCCCCTTCCTCCATATCCTCACCAGCATTTCTTGTTTGTTGATTTACTGATGATAGCCATTCTCACAGGTGTGAGGTGATAGCTCATTGTGGTTTAAATTGCATTTTTCAGATGATTAGTGACATTGAGTATCTTTTCATATGTCTATTGGCCACCTGCATATCCTCTTTGGACAAGTGCCTATTCAGGTCTTTTACCCATTTGAAATTAGACTTTATTTAAAGTTGAGTTGTATACAAGGTGGGGGGCATTCCCCCCAAAACAGAATTATCTTCTGGAAGGTGGGTCCCTGGTAGTACAGATTTCTACTACTTGGGGAGGGTTCTAAGAACTCATCTGTATCAGTGTACCAGCTGGTGGTGTTGTGAGAGGCTGTGTTTGGCTTAAGTGAAGTTTTTTGAAGACTCTTTCAACATGCTTGCCTATTTCATCATGGGTGATTTAAGAAGGCATTTACCCACACTGGACTGATTGTTTAGCAGTTGTTGACCAGAAATGTCATGACCCCCATGGTCCACCCTTCCTATCTACCAGATCTCGCCCCAAGTGACTTTTTTTTACCCAGAAGAAAAAGGTCCTCAAAGAGAAATATTTTGCAGATGTGGAAGAGGTGAAATAAAAAAATAGTAGAAGCATGAAAAGGCATCAAAATCAACGAGTTCAAAAACTGTTTTCAGCAGTGGAAAAGAAAATCTCAATAGGTGTATTAGATCAAAAGGCAAGTACTTTGAAGGTGACTGAAGTTTAAACACGTAAGAATAAATACACAATTTTTTAATAAACAAATTCTGAATTTTTTGGGTCCCCCCCTTATAAGTTCTTTATACATTTTGGATATTAACGCCTTATCAGATATATCATTGGCGAATATGTTCTCCCATTAAGTGGGCTGTCTTTGTATTTTGTTGATGGTTTCTTTTGCTATCCAAAAACTTTTTTGTTTGAGGTAGTCCCATTTGCTTATTTTTCTTTTATTTAAATCAGTGGTTTTAAGTATCTTCAAATAAGTAAAGGAAAGTATGTCTAAAGAAATGAAGGAAAGAATAAAGATAATTGTTGGGAACCATACCACCTGTAGCCTTGCCAACAGGCGAGAAAGCCCCAAGGCTGGATCTGAGCAAGGAGGCCTTGGGAGAATAGGCCACTGAGGAGACGAAACCTGTCCCCTTGGTACCCTTCTTGGCCCTGGAGGATGGCGGGTTAGTTAATGACGGGTAAGACACCCTCGGCGGCAGGGACAACCTAAGATAGGCACAATTGCATAGGGGCCATCAGAGAAGCACCTAGGGGACATGGAGAAGGGGAAAAAGAACCTCATCCCTTGGCTTTGATATGGCTGGAGTTCTCATTCTATCTGAAGCAAGTCTCCTTATCTCTTAGCGGTTCTGTCCTGCCCACCTGGCTCAAACTTAAAACAATACTAAAGGCAGATACAGCCTTAAACTGGATCGGGTGGTTCCTGGGAGGGAAAACAGGCCTAGAGCTAAGTTCCTTGAAATATGTTTTGCCCTTCCCTCAAAAGCTACGATAACCTAACTGGCTAATGCTGGGAAGGATGTTTACATTATTCACAGACCCTGACCTGAGGCAAATCTCTTATGTTCCTTCAATTGTTACCTATGATTTCTATTTGTTTTCTATAAACATAGCCTTTGACATTGATAGATGAGCTTTGCATAGATGGTGTATATGCCTGCACATATGGTTCTCAATAAAAGCCACTGAGCACAGGGGCTCGAGGCCTTCTCTGCTAGAGGGAAGTGCCACCCTCTTCCCCTGGCAGACCGAGAGAAAAGTGTCTGGGATGACTTATTTTATTTCCCCATCTGTGATGACCTGGAGTGTACTCTGTGAGACCCGAGTCTGCTCTCCTCCACAGCTGGCACCCAAACAGGGACCCTCAGATCCAGAGCCCCATGCTGCCTCAGCTAGTGTCCAATGTGGGGCCCTCAGGACCTGTGCCTCCTCAGCTGGTGCCCGAACAGGGACCTGAAGAGTCTGCCTCAGATAATATCTCACCAAATAGAGAACATCAAAAAAGAATGATAAATTATATAAAAA